TTGTGGGTGACAATTTCAGAAGATCAGCAGTTTCTGAAATATTCCGACCAGCCCGTTTGGCACCAGCAACCATGTCATGTTCAAAATTACTTAAATCACATTTCTTCCCCATTATAAAGCTCGGTTTGAACTGCAGCGGATTGTCTTGACCATGTCAACGTGTCTAAATGTATTGAGTTTACTGCATGTCATTGGCTGATTAGTAATTTGCATTAACGAGCAGTTGGACAGGTATACCCAGTAATGTGGGTGAGAGCTCCTAACACACCACATATGTTAGGGATTTCTCATAAGATTATCTTTAGAGCATTACAAAAACTGGGTATCATCATCCTGCTGTGGTACTGCAAAGTTTAACATTTCTCACCAAAATACAGCTGTGTCAATTTTCTGCTCACGTTTTTGCACCCACTTCTCTCCCTCTTCAGTTTCACCTCTTATTTGCTATCACATACAAATTCGTGAAAATCTGTAGGTTTGAACAATTTGTAGTCTGTATCACAGTTGTTAAAAGAAAACCTTCACGTCAATGCTACAAGTTAATCACTGATGCTAAAATGCTGTACATTTGTTTTAGACTTTTGGGATGAATTGTGAAGCTCATCTTTGTAATGGTTTAATTTACATGTTATTTCATAAGACATAAGATTCCATAGTAAATGTGGAATCAACCTTATGGATCTGTGGGTACTTTTTAACCAGAAGATCGGAACTTTTTATTGCAGGGATTATGTAACCACTTCGTGTTAACTCAGAGACAACAGAAGAGAGAGTCAAGTTTTAAAAGTTTAAAGATTTATTACTAAACAAATTAAAACTAGACTAACTTAAACACTAAATGTATGGTGTACTGTAACTAAGATGGAATGAGGTGATCGAGAGGTTGCGTGGGCTTACCAGGCAAGATGGCGGCACGAGTGCGCATGCGCCGTACCTCCAACTTGCGGTTAACCGAAAGTCCGTTTCTCACACCGAAAGTGTTAAATCGCCGCTAAAACTACTCGAACGAAGTGAAGTTTTATCCCTCGGGTACTAGCGGATTTTGAGACACAGGTGCGCTGTGTCAATCGATTTTCAGCTGTGGGTAGCTACTCCGTTTTTGTCAAAATCGAGAGCTAAACTTTAGCAGCTGAGTGTGCTAAGCTGGCGGAGCCTGTCAGCTGACCAGGACTTTGCTGTCTAATTCTGTCGTAGAACTGACCAGTCCAAATAACCGAACGTCCGTGACTCATTCGTGTTAATATTTCAAACTAATTAGCGTGTGCAATTTGTGCTGCAATGACGCTCTCTCGTTTTAAAGCTTTTAAGACTGTCGTGATTCAACGCTAGTCAAGCTACGGGCTGATTTACCGGTGATCAAACAGCAATCCAGGAAGCGAACTTCCGGTGGAGAAATTATTTTATCTCCGTACACAAGAAAAATACACAGTGTCACAAAACACTCAGAAAAGACATAAACATGTATTTACATTGAAGATGACAGCAGGAAAAACCCTGTTCTTTGTGCTAGAAGCTCCAGTATGGCTTGAGGTGACGTCAGCCTGAGGTGAGAGATGAATCAGCGCCTCCTTGTGGGAGGTGAACAGTGTCACACCCCCTTTTGACTTTAAATGGAGATGCTCTACTCCAGTGGTGGATTACGAGATTGTCCCGTTTTCAACCAGAAACATCAGTTTTAGTGTTTGACTGTTTAAAAATGTCTCAGAATGAGCACGAAGTGTCAAGAATGTACAAATATCTGGCAATGGCTCGCCATTCTGCAATGAGTTAATTTACATGTTATTTTATGAGCCATAATACACAAGATTCCATAGTAAATATGAAATCAATCTTATGGATCTGTGGGCACTTTTTAACCAGAAGATTGGAACTTTTTATTGCAGGGATTATGTAACCACTTTGTATTAACTCAGATACAACAGAAGAGGGAGTCAAGTTTTAAAAGTTTAAAGATTTATTACTAAGCAAATTAAAACTAGAGTAACTTAAACACCAAATGTATGGTGTAACTAAGGTGGAATGAGACGGAGAATAGTGTAGTGTGGAATGTTGTTCAGAACCAGCAAATCCAAAGAAACGATTAGTTCTGGTGGGAATGAAGGTGATGTCTTCACGCTAAGCTTTGATTAGGAGATTCATAAACACATTCGACGCCATGTTGTTGCTCCACACATACCCTCTTCTTGATCCCCAGTGAGTCGTGGAGGATGGCTGCTTATACTGAGCCAGGATCTTCTGGAGGTTTCTTCCTGTTAAAAGGGAGTTTTCCTCTCCACTGTCACTGCATGCTTGCTTAGTATGAGGATTGCTGTATAGTCACTGACACTAGTCAGTGACTTGATGAAATTTGCTGGGTTCCTTATATAGGACACATTATTTCTGATTGGCTTAATGAACTGTGAATTGGAATGTTTAGTATGTGAAGTGCCTTGAGACGACTCTTGTCGTGATTTGGCGCTATATAAATAAACTTGAATTGAATTGAATTCTCTTAAAATGAGACCTCCGTACAGATCCAGAATGCCAGGTCCTCAAACCCCTCTTTCGGTACTGGAGCCGATGAAACAGAATCAGCAGTATGATAGACTAGTCTTTGGATTGTCTCCAGGTAAAAAGCGACAGATGGTTGACAGTGTCAGATGGACCCAGAAGGTCAGTGAGTTCAGCTTTTATTCTGAAAGGAACCGTTGCAGCAAGTGGAACGGCAACAGGTTTATCCAGCTTGTCGTTGGTTCTTTTGGCTGAAGAGGAGAGTCTTGAATTGGCCACTCCGTCAACTTCTCTTGAACGATTTGAACTGGCATTAAAGATGACGTGGGCATAGTTTTATACTTCGGAGGTTTGGGTTTATGGTCAAATGAAAAGGTGACCGATTTACCAAGCACCACCAAAACCACGCCTCCTTCAGATCTGGCAGATTCTGATTGGATCAGTAAAAGCAATGTGTCATGTCTCAACGCTACGTGAGATCACGTAGATTGACTAACACTTTGTTTGATTAGCTTTATTAAAAATAGAGTTCTTTCATTTATTAAAAGAAGAGAGTCATTTTCTTCATTCTTCTCTTGGGCTGGAAAGGAAGCAGTTTAGAGCAAATGCATGAGACCTTGAGGCAATATCTCATGCAGATTAGTTCTGTGTCAGAGGAGGGGAAAAATGACTTTTAGGTGGAAAACAGTCATTTCATTCCATTACATCTTCATGAAAACAGCAGTACAGCAGATTGCCCTTTTTCCTTATTTTTGTTCTAAAAAGAAAACACCACCGTCGCTCAGATGCATGAATGTAGCTAGCACACAGTATAGGTCTTTGAGGCCAGACACTTATTTCTACTGCAGTAATTTACACAAATGGGTGGGTTTCCCTTTAAATGCATGTATAATACATTATTTTAATGTGCTTAAACTGCACCAGCGTAAAGAAGCTGTTTGGTTAGTAGAGCAGAAGGATACACCTTGCAGGGCTTTGTGAATTAGACTCCGATCCAAAACCTTCCAACTTGGTATCAAAAACGTGCCATTCTTTGGTGAACTAAAACCCATGTCTGTAGGACTAACCAGCCATGGTGCCCTAAATCAAACATGTCAAATCAGTTTCATTTAACTGTATTTTTGCACAGCTCACTATATCATCATGCCACGAGCTAGTGAAATCTCTGCGTTTTGACCCTCATGCTCCTCTTAGCATCAGAACTAACCTTTACCTCTCTCCTGCTGCTTGGAGACCTAACCCTCCCAGAAGGCTGTGCACCATGCCAGGCCTGTCATGCTCCGTTCAGACGTCATCACACTACGGACACCAACTGACAGACCGTTATAGATGCAGACCTTTTGTCCTTTGGGTGGAAAACATGAAGCTGCTCGAAGAGCTCTGAGAACTAATTAGACGTGATAAAAATTCCTGCTCATTTGAACTCAGTCTTGATGTGCATCTTTTCTTAAAAATAAATCAACAATACTGAGGGTGGAGAAAAGGCATGCATTGCACTTTATTGTTAGCTCCTGCATTGTCAGAATAATGGAGAAAGCTTCAGTTTGCTGAGTTCCTGCAGGCGCTGTGATACAGAAACCTATTCAGACACACATATGAATATTAAATGGTCAGTGGCAGATAAGTTGACATCACATTGTACATGTTTAAAGAACAAGTATAACCTAAGGCTTGCAAAAAATGTGCATGTATGTATATTCAGGGTTCTATCTGAAAAAATGCATTAACGTTTCAGGGAGGAATAACCTCACAGAGAGCCCCTATAAATATTGAATGTGCTCTATTTCCTCATGCAAGACCTTCACTTTGCCTGTGTTTTGTGACTGTGTATGCAGCCTGCAATTACCTCGCTGCTGCTGGCAGACCAAGACAGGAAGAGGAGCAATGGGAGTGGGCAAGACAATGAAAAGAGAGGGCAGAATGGAGTCAGACCACTCAGAAAACATGATTATGATCATTTACAGTTGAAGGGGCATTGTAAAGGTTTCAACTCTCTTACACTGTAATTAAATGGAAGCATGTGTGCACAAGTGGGTGTGGAAGCAATTGAGGCAACTAGCAAGCACACACACACACACACACACACACACACACACACAGAGAGAGAGAGAGAGAGAGAGAGAGAGAGAGAGAGAGAGAGAGAGAGAGAGAGAGAGAGAGAGAGAGAGAGAGAGAGAGAGCTCATGTTCTTGTTGTAGTAGTTATTCCCAAAGCTGGTGGTGAGTATACTTTGGGGAAAATTGAGATACCTCTAGACTTTGGAGATTAGAAAAATACCCCAACATTTTATTGCATGGATTTTTTTATGTTATCTTTTGGATGTGAAAACACTTTTGAAGAAAGGCTTTGTTAAAAATGACTTCCAGGTTGCTAAACAGATGAATGCAGCTTGAGACTTGAGGAAGGCCTGAAGCCATCTGCACCCTAAAACAGCCCTGTACAGGGTGGGTTAATTTAGCTCATTTGAGTGTAGTTGTGTTTCCCAGCCAGCTCTGGGGGTTGGGGGGTCCTTACTCCACACCAAAATAGCGTAAGGCGATCTGTATGTTACACGGAAACACAACTCAGCAAAAAAAATCGTGGTGTTGCTGGACATTTTTCTCAATTTAATGGCTTTTTGTCAGATTCTGAACCAGAAAATGGCTGCAGACAGTGAAGCATCAGGCAGAAAACTCCAGAGCAACCAGTGACTCTGCCCTCTAGCCAGTCAGCGGCCAATGCTGGCCCGACTCAGCCTCGCCAGGGACCTCAACGGTACTAAAAATTTGGAAAAAGTAGAGGCAAAGAAAAGGTAGTTAGGCTGAGCTGCACTAATCGGAGTTACTCTAAGTAGCACCCTTCGAAACTTGATGTTTTGCTAACACTCTTTACTTTTCGGATTGAACGTTGCTGACATAAAATCAGAATATATTCCACCAGCCAATATACGAGGTTCCCTTGAACCTGATATGCAACCGATTAGCTATTTGTTATGGTCTGGTTGTTTAACCAGGGTTTTTAATGTTGATAATTCGTCCTTTAAATGTTAACCTTTTAGTCTTGTTTTTGTTTGGCATTATTTTAATAATGCTGTCCATGTGTTTGCTCATTCGTTTTTAATACCTTTTATGACAATTAAACCCATTTTAAATCCACTGTCATGTCACACTTTAACAACTCCTGTTGGGGTTGTAACACTATGAAAGTAGAAAGTAAGTTGTTTTGGTATCAGAAGTGGCTTTATAGCAGAAGCTATAACGCTCCACCTTTGAGAATAAAACTGCAAGGCGTGTCTTCTAAATTGAGACATCAATTCTGATTTCTTCACAGCCGGACAGGACACAGTAAAAAAAAAAAAAAAAAGAATGTTACTGGCGACCAATGATCAAGATCCTGTCTTTTCCTGGTTTTGGTATACAACTAATAAACTCTATTTCCTGTTATTTTGTAAAATATCATTCGTGGCTTCAAATATTATTATTATTTGAATTCTGATCCCAAAAGTAGTAACACTGAAGTCCGCGCATCTTGGTCACGCGCTTTAGCTGATTTTACTTTGTTCTGTAACTCAGTTGTTATCATCGACATTAATATATTATTTAGGAGCAAAGTAGTTTGTCCGAGTGGTGTTGCCGTAGTGTGACGTCATCGCTGGGTGCAGAACAGTTTCGCTTTCTTTACCTTTTTGCTCGATCGGGTCCTTTTTCTCCCTCTCGGGATTATTTTTATTTTATTTCCTGGGTATGTTGTGTATTTCTGACACCGTTAATGCTGTTAAAACATGATAATGAATGATATTTGAGTGTTTAGACGGTGTTTGAACAAGTTACAGAGTTGAAATGTCCGTTAACCTTTAGCATTGCCACTTCGCAAATGGCGATTTTAACTTTCAGATACTGTTTGTATACAGTTCATTCTTAGATGACATTAAAGATAATATTGTGTTTTAAATCTAATTCTGTCTTAAAAGAACAACAGTGCCATGTTAGACTATAGAGTTGTGTTCATTTCTGTGGCGTATCCTACTGCTATTTTTTTGTTATTTCTTCTGTTCTGCATATTCATTCTTGCGTATTTTGTCATCTGCTTATACCTCTTGTGATTAGCTCAAACCTGGCTTAAATATGTAACTAATGTGCGATCATTGAGTCTGCTGTACAATATGTTCATGTGTATTTTGGTTTGCTCTGCAGATGTGCAGCAGCTGTTGGTGGTTATAGAAAGGTCCCTGATGAATGAATCTTCAGGCTGAACTAGTAAGAGCCAGAAGCTCAGAAGGAGGAGGAATTTTTTCCCAGTCCACTGACCACTGGTAATCTATTGACTATTTTTCATAATGACCTGCATTATTTTTAATAACTCAAATTATTGATAGTCTTTTGTGTGATAATTTGGCGTGTTTTTCCTAAAGGTTTAACTTGGTTACTTGGTTGAAACGTAAGCAAAAGGGTAATACAACCTTTTTTTTTCTTTGTTTAAAAAAAAGAGAGAGAGAGAGCAACCAAGTAAAGCTGTTGTTTAAATAGTGTTTGTCTAGTGTTGACTAATCTAAGCACTTTACACTACAAGTCACATTCATCTACACACACTCACATCCCAGAGTCATGGATCAGGGGTTAAATGGGACTTGATGTCCTGCCCAAGGATACTTAAGCATGCTGTCTGAGAGTGAAGTGTTCAGTTAGGAACATATGAAACAATCATCATCATTTGACTACATCAATCTATGTTAGGTTAAATTTAAGGCTAGGAACAAAATATATATAGACACACACACGTGTGTATATATTATGGGTGGGACTCGATTAAAGACACATTTAATTAAATCATTCACTGCCAGCCATTTCCTGATCAGAAAAGCCCTTCACTGCCAGCATTTTTTGTTTTGTTTTTAGCATTTTCACAGTTTTTTTAAGAGTCACAGAGCGTTGCGCTCTATGATGATGTCAACGCCAAAACTAACAAAACAAAGAGTAGACTCATCATCATCATCATCATCAGGGAGAATTTGCACGTTTCGAGCGTTATCCGTTCTTTCATAATCCGTTGTCGAATTGTGATCGGCAGAAGCTTTTCCGGTTCACACCTCTTTTTTTTTTTTACAGCAATGGTCCAAAACGATCTCCTAACACATGGATTTTCTGCTTCCTGATCACGTGAAATGTGACGTACGCGGCTGAAGATCGGCTTTAGAGCTGGCATGTTTGTTCTCGCGGTGCGGGGGCTCGCTCCGACGCACAAACAGTTAAAAAATGTAAATGATGATTTTAGTTGTCATTGGCAGTGAACAGTTGGATTTAAAATGACGACTTTTGTCGTCAATGGCAGTGAATGAGTTAATTAGAGGCTTTGTAACGAATTAATCTTGATTAAATTAATTTTTCACGAAAATTAGCCTCCAAAGCAAATTTTCTCATTAAAAATAATTTTACCGAGGTACAGAACAATTGAGATGGATGTTAATATTGTAAATATTGTAAACTCGACCGTTTTTTTTTCTGAAAAAAGTGCTTTTAAATTTAATTTCCATTAAAAACAATAGAAGCACAAAAAATGTCCCCGGTAAAAATAGGACAGCAGGGTCGGCTTTTCCGACAAGCAAAACAGGCCTGCTGGATTGGACACAGAATTGCAGAATCAAAAAAACATAAATGTGTGTATGTACAGTCAGGTCCATAAATATTGGGACATCGACACATTGCTAACATTTTTGGCTCTATGCACCACCACAATGTTAGGGTTGGGCATCGTTTGATTTTGAACGATTCCGATTCCAATTCCTCGTTTCTTTTCCGGTTCCTATCGATTCCCGATTCCGATTCTTTGAAGACATGACATGTTTTAATGAGCCAGCTAACCACAGGTCCTACTTGATGAAATAATCTTAACTTCAACATGAATTTTAATTCTATGAACAACAACATCACCTTCATTTAGACAAAAACATGTTTTGGAGAAAAAACGAAAAAGACTTGCAGCACAACCAGTGTGTTTGTTTCTGACCACAACCAACGTCTGGAAGAAGTCTCTGGGATGAGAGGCTAAATGTCTCCAACATGTCCAGAAACATCCAGCTGTTTTCAGCTAAAACTCTCAGGATGATCATGTCCAGGATGACTGAGAACTACACCTCCATGCTGCAGCAGCATTCAGTCAGAACAGGAAGTGAAACTTAAACATAGCTGCTGTCTGTAACAATCTAACAGATTTTAAACATTAAAACTCTCAGCAGAAATAGTTCAGAAAGGAAATTAAAATGTTATTTATTGTTATTCTAATTATTTATTGTGGCAGAAGCTGGTGTGGTCCACCACAGAGAAAGCTGCTCTAGCATGATGACTTTAATTATTCTACAGGTTATTGTTCAGCCTTCTGATGCTCCATGTGTGTTTTTATAAATAAAGCTTTGATTTGATTTGATTTGATTTCTTCAGTGAGATAAACTCACCTCACACCGTCCAGAGTTTGTTCTTTAAAACTCCTATTAAATCCACCGTGTTGACATATTTTAACAAGTTTCCTCTACGCTGCAGGAGTTAAAGTTTACATTACGGAGTAAAAGTAGTTCGGCAGACACGTTTGTTTAGATTTGGGGGGGCTCGGTGTTGCAGACAGACAGCTGGTGTGATCAGCTCTGAAGAAATAATGACACGTCTCTAAATAAAGTAAAATTTTCTAGCGCAGAGTGGAGACAACCCATAGAAGCACTGATTTGATCTCATTTCAGAGAATAATAGAACAGGTCAGATGCACCTAATGAATAAAATTACTAACAAACTCAGGAATCTGTTTCTTTGCTTCACTGTTCTGGTGCTGAGGGTATCACTAATGCGGATCAAAGGAGATACACAGATGAATGCACCTCTTATTTATTATTTGGAGACTACATTTACTGCAGCTGGCAGAGGCAGAGATTTTTTCTATTGATACACGGAATTTACAGAATCATTTTAAATGTTAATAGGGGAAGACTGCAGGAGGGAGCGGTAAAATACAGGGGGTCCACAGCAAAAACAAGAAACTTTACGAGTCTGATGAAACCCGCTGGTTTTCCATCAGGCAGTCACGGGGCAGCTCCAACGACCCAGTGGCTGTGCTGGGTCAATGTTATCGAGCTCAGTCCGGCTCGGCAGAGGGTGAACGAGCCGAGGCGATGTCGTGCTCTGCTTGAAGAGGTGTTATTTTCCAGCTTCAGAAGAAGCGTCCAACGTGTTTTTACGCTTTCTCCGAGACATGTCACGTCTCTAAGTTGTTAGCGCCGTGCGCTAACACATCAATAGTGCAACGTAGCCTGCTGGAGGTTTTAAGGGTTCAGATGAAAACACCCGACCTCTCAGGCTGCTCACACATCGATCTTAAGTTGTCGCTGTTGCGCTCACGCCGTAATACAGTATTAGATGCGGTTAAAGTCAGACATGAAAAAATAAATAAATTTTACATGAATAAGTGATGCTTTGCCTGGTGGGGGGAGGAAAACCTGGCCTAATAAGCACTGGAGGAAACCCTGTCAAGATCGTCAACACTCATTTATCTTAATGCTACTGAAACATGTAAACCACAAAGCATTATATCCACTGCTACCTTTCTAATTTTAAACTCAGTAACTTATGCTGTAACTTCACCCTGCCCTGCCTGCTCCTCCTTGCTGCCCGCCGGCTGTGATCACAAGCGACAACATACTTCCCGCTGCTTCTTCTGGAAACAGCGCAAAAAAAAAAATTGGGATCTTGTAGGCGTGTCGGTAGGATTTCAGCCGTGGCGGCTACGCCTATGTAAGGGAAACCCTGCTTAGGATCATTATCAGTTCCTTTCCGTCTCAATACTCTTCTCCTCCCATCACTCTGGTACAAGTTGATCTTGGTCTCATCTGTCCATAGGATGTTGTTCCATAACTGTGAAGGCTTTTTAGATGTTGTTTGGCAAACTCTAATCTGGCCTTCCTGTTTTTGGGGCTCACCAATGGTTTACATCTTGTGGTGAACCCTCTGTACTGGTGGAGTCTTCTCTTTATTGTTGACTTTGACACAGATACACCTACCTCCTGGAGAGTGTTCTTGATCTGGCCAACTGTTGTGAAGGGTGTTTTCTTCACCAGGGAAAGGATTCTTCGGTCATCCACTACAGTTGTTTTCCTTGGTCTTCCGGGTCTTTTGGTGTTGCTGAGCTCACCGGTGCGTTCCTTCTTTTTGAGAATGTTCCAAACTGTTGGTTTGGCCACACTTAATGTTTTTGCTATCTCTCTGATAGGTTTCTTTTGTTTTTTCAGCCTAATGATGGCTTGCTTCACTGATAGTGACAGCTCTTTGGATCTCATCTTGACGGTTGACAGCAACAGATTCCAAATGCAAATAGCACACGTGAAATCAACTCTGGACCTTTTATCTGCTCATTGTAATTGGGATAATGTGGGAATAACACACACCTGGCCATGGAACAGCTGAGAAGCCAATTGTCCCATTACTTTTGGTCCGTTAACAAGTGGGAGACACATATGCAAACTGTTGTAATTCCTACACCGTTCACCTGATTTGGATGTAAATACACTCAAATAAAGGCTGACAGTCTGCAGTTAAAGCACATCTTGTTCGTTTCATTTGATATTCATTGTGTTGGTGTATAGAGCCAAAAATGTTAGCATTGTGTCAATATCCCATTATTTATGGACCTGACTGTACGTATTTTGAAATGCACTCAATACATACTCGAAATTTCTCTTAAAAAACATGAAAATAAAACTTCAGTATTTAAGTTATGTGTAATGATCTGGCTGCGTGACCTGCAGTAGGGCTGCTCAATTAATCGAATTTTAATCACGATTACGATCTGAGTTTTGAACGATTATAAAAAACAAAACAAGCCGATTATTTGCTCCTCCCTAGCGACTTTGACACTATTTCTAGCAGCTTTTCAGACCCACTTATTGACTTTTTAACTTAAAAGTACCTAGCGAACACCTCAGAAACATCTCTGGTAACCCATAGCTACTTTCTGGATAACTGTCGTCGACATTTCCTGCAGGTTAGCTAAACACTCCGCCTGCGCTCCGGACCGTTCTTCGGGACATTAGGAAAGGGAATGATGTAGTGATGTGTCAGTCGCTAAAGAAACAGCTCTCGGAGCCGGCTTCTTGTTGGATTAACCAGAGTGAGTGACACACACACCGCACCTGCGGTCTCCTGAGCCACTAAAAACGGCTAAATGTGCGCGTGCGGCGTGCTAAACACACGTGCAGCTTGCCCCTATTGCTGTGAGACCGGGTTGGGGGTGGGGGGTGCAGCTGTGGTTGGGACAATTATTACATTAACTGATGGACCTCTAAATAAATAGTTTATAAATAAGGTAGAAATAAGTTACTCACGCTGATAAATAATAACTAATCTCTCTGAGGACACGGTGCTAGTGCACGCTCCTACAGCACCTTGACATGACTCAATAAATGTTATGCAACATTTTGTGAACATCAATTTATTTACATTTATTTGTTATAAATGCCACTGTACAATTCTTGCTGTCAGTATTTGCAAGATATTGGTATTTGGGTCTGTACTGGTTAGACTTAAATGAGTTAAACCAAGGTCTATAGCCCTTGGGTCATAGACTATGAGCTATAAGTATATTGGTCTTTTATACAGGGAATCAGGAGTTATTTTAGTGATCATCTTGTTTCTTATTTATTTTTGTCCTGATTGTGCCCTGAGCAATTTTATGACTGAATAAAAACAAATAAAATCAACATAAATTGAAAAATCGTCCTAAATAATCAAGATCTCAATTTCAGTCACCATAATCGTGATTATTATTTTTGCCATAATCGAGCAGCCCTAACCTGCAGTGGTGTTTATATTTGCAGACGGCCCCTGAGCACTCACGGCAGTTTCATAACATGTTGGGTGCAAAGGACGGGTTGTTAAAAAAATTAGGTTGTAGCTTTTTCACTGCCTTGCTATGATACCAAAGAGGTGTTTTATTTTCAAAATGAAATTCTGATCAGAAATTATTGAGCCGTAAATGGTGATATCTTGCCAACTTTACTGAAATATGTAACTTTCTCATGAGGCCAACCTGGCTCCCCTCCTCCTCTATCTACTTAGCTTACCTGCTACTCGAGAACGGTAATTTTTTATGAGTCAGTTAGCTAAACATGTCAAAAAATCATGAGCCCAGGGGAGAAAAAAGAGAAGTAGAGGAGGAAAACGTGACAAGGACAGAGGTAAGGAAATGTTACAGTGATGATCTAATGAGCTTTGAAAGAAAAGCGTCTGGACTTCTTTGAGTTGCTTGAATACGTTTCACCTCTCATCCGAGAGGCTTCTTCAGTTCTAAGGTCAAATGGTGGAGAGTCCCAGATTTAAACCCAGTGGGAGTTTCCCCCCGAAGAGGGAAGAAAAGACCCCCTGATGATCTTCTACATAAACACATGAGCCAAGGTGTGAGGGTGGGTGTGGGTCCTATTCAGCCAGAGTTTCTGGTGAGCTCATTGTGAAGCCTGGCCCCACCCTATCATGTGAATTCCTGAGGTCCGATGGCCCAGGATATGCGTGGGCGTTGAGACATCTGGGAAGGGATCTCAAAACTGGATTATAGATGGCAGACAGTTGGTGTCGAAAACCACCGCCTCTGTTCAAAGATGGTTGCTCACAGTGGACATAAATGGCTTCCTTTACTCCTCTTTCAAACCATCTGTCCTCTCTGTCCAAAATGTGAACGTTGGCATCCTCGAAAGAGTGACCTTTGTCCTTTAGATGCAAATGAACTGCTGAGTCCTGTCCCGTGGAGGTGGCTCTTCTATGTTGTGCCTTGCGCTTGTGAAGTGGCTGTTTGGTTTCTCCGATGTAGAGGTCTGGGCAGTCCTCGCTGCACTGTACAGCATACACCACATTGTTCAGTTTGTGTTTAGGAGTTTTGTCTTTCGGGTGAACCAGTTTCTGTCTGAGTGTGTTGCTGGGTCTGAAGTACACTGGTATGTTGTGTTTGGAGAAAACCCTCCTGAGTTTCTCTGATACACCGGCTACATAGGGGATGACAAGGTTGTTGCGTCTGTCTTTCTTATCCTCCCTCGCTGGTGTCTGGTCTTTTCTGTGCATCTTTGCTGACTTTATAAACGCCCAATTAGGATAGCCGCATGTTTTAAGTGATTCCTTTATATGTGTGTGTTCCTTCTTTTTCCCTTCCGGCTTAGAGTGAACATGTTCTGCCTGGTGGTGTAAGGTCTTGATTACTCCAAGTTTGTGTTCCAGAGGGTGATGTGAGTCGAAGAGGAGGTACTGGTCCGTGTGTGTGGGCTTCCGGTACACTTCAATGTTGAGGTTGCCATTTTCTTCAAAGTGCACAGCGCAGTCCAGGAAAGGCAAGCAGTTGTCCTTTATGTTTTCCCTGGTGAACTTGATGTTTTTGTCCATGGCGTTGATGTGTGTAGTGAAGGATTCCACTTCTTGTGTTTTGATTTTGACCCAGGTGTCATCCACATATCTGTACCAGTGGCTGGGTGCTCTCCCTTTAAAAGAGCCAAGAGCCTTTCTTTCCACTTCCTCCATGTAAAGGTTGGCTGCAATAGGTGACACGGGGAAGCCCATGGCGCAGCCATGTTTTTGTCTGTAGAAACCTTCGTTGTATTTGAAACATGTAGTGGTGAGGCAGAGGTCTAACAGTATGCAAATCTGATCGGGTGTGAAGTTGGTCCTGTCCTCCAAGGTGCTGTCTTCTTGTAGTCGTTTTCTGACAGTCTCCACTGCCTCTGTAGTGGGTATGCAAGTGAAGAGGGAGACTACGTCAAAGGACACCATGGTTTCATCTGGATCCAGGGTAAGTTTCTGGACCTTGTCAGTGAAGTCGGTGGAGTTCTTGATGTGGTGTGGGGTGTTCCCCGCCTGACATATCACCGCCTTTATCCAGGAGATGCCATACCCTGCATCTACGGACTTCCCAAGATCCACAAGGAAGGTATCCCTCTCAGACCCATTGTCAGTAGCATAAATTCAGTCACCTACAACATCGCGAAACACCTTGTTACTATCCTTGCACCTCTGGTGGGGAACACCCCACTGGGTTTAAATCTGGGACTCTCCACCATTTGACCTTAGAACTGAAGAAGCCTCTCGGATGAGAGGTGAAACGTCTTCAAGCAACTCAAAGAAGTCCAGACGCTTTTCTTTCAAAGCTCATTAGACTACAATGACCTGGATGACTGAGAACCTTCACAGACTTACAGTGATGATGTCATCATGACATTATTAGTTAGCATCCTGGGGATGCTTTAGAACAAATGAAGCTAATTTCTTAATATTGTAACGTTTGTGCAGTAGTAAAGCTCAGACACAATGAGAAGTAGGATTATTTCAGTGTTTTGAATTTTTTTCAGATATTTTCACTTTTTGTGTTCAGAGAATTCTGTTTCACAATAACGCCTAATACTTATATGATGATTCTTAATAATTTTCTGATAATTTCTTATCAATTCTGTCTGATATTTTTCTGATCAGAGTGATATTTTAAACCCCATAGCAGAAAATGGGTTGCATTTAGCAAAAAATCACATAAATGGTTTTCCCTTTTTATAGTATTGCGACAGATTATTGTTGCAAAAAATAATATATGTAAATGTCAGAGGTCTAGGGCAGGGCAATATGGCCAAAAATATTTATCACGATATATATATATGAAAATTTGCGATAACGATATAACAGACGATATGACTGATGCGAGACAAAGTACTTTACAAATTAACAACTTTATTAGTGCAAAGAACCCACCAATATATTTTCATTTAAGCAGCAATTTTTATGTGCATCAAAACTACATTAAAATGTTTGTGCAAATGGGCTGAATATCCTCCTGAGCATAACCATTGGTAATATCTCATAACTTAAAGTGTTGCTTTGCAACATAAAACTCAAACCCTTGAGTAAAAAACAATACATAAACAAACAACATGGATAAAGTGCCCTTTTCAAGTTTTAAGATTTTTTGTCAGAAACACCAACATGTTCACAGATGTGGGCTTAAGTGAGGATCGTAGACAAGTTACAACGTTTCCACCTGTACTGAACAACCTTTCAGATGCAGAGCTAGTTGCTGGAATGCAGAGGTACTTCCTAGCTAATCTGCTGATGTTGGGAAAGTTTACCGTGTGAACCTTCCACCACAAAAGAGGATCACACTCACTGTCTGCTGGTGGACTATTCACATAACTGCTCAGTTCAGATAGCAACCTTTCTGCAATTACATCTGTCTTGCCACTAACAGGTCCCTTCAAAAAACTCCCGAGACTCTTTTTTGGCTTTTTAGCGGCTCCCTGACTTGTTTGGTCTCCAGCAGATGTGGGAAGTGTTTCTGAAACACCTGTGGCTGTGCTACCCTGGGGTGACACAAGATGCTCTAGTTCACTCATGACCTGAACTTTGATGGCTTCGCTCTCACTCTCGCTGAAATATTCTGTGCGAAAACGTGGATCAAGTAGAGGAGCCATGTTAATAAGCCTCTCTGTGATGCTGTCTTTGTAGCTTTTGTTCATGTAGTCGAGTATTGCTGTTTTGATGTCTTTGGTCAGTGGTGTGTCACTCTCTTTTACTTTTAACAGGTCGTTGTTAAACATCTGAAGAACAGGCTTAACACATGAAATGGTCACATACTCTTCAGCAGAAAAAGCATCTGTAAACTCTAGAAGTGGACTCAATGCAGCGCTGACGGAGTCAAGCACCTGAATGTCTTGCCATGTCAACATGAGGTGCCTTGTGGTTTTATCAGCAGCTAAAACCTGTGTTATAGCCTTTTCTTGTTCCAGCAGTCGCTGGATCATTCTCTGCTTTGAGCCCCAACGAGTGCAACATTCAGTTATGAGTTTGTGTTCTGGTAGGCCCAGTTCTTTTTGGACAGCCTGCAGAGCACGCTGGCGCTTCCAGCTGTGGCCAAAGGCACCAACAATCTTCTTTCTCACCCCAACTGCTCGATCAATCCTTTGGTCCTTCACACTTCTTTCTAAAAAAGACAAATTTAAAGGAAAACGGTTAATTGCTCAACACCAATATTAATGCAGTGTGGAATGTGTGACATTTGTTTTATGTATAACACACACACACACACCTTAAAATGTCTTACAGCATAAATGTGCACATCCAGCCTTCCTGTTCATTTTTAAAGACATCTAAAGATTAATAGTATAAACATTACTATCATTTAAACTAATGCAAGAAATGCTTAATCTGACATTTTAATCAATTTACCTATGGCAATGTGCAGGCGATGTCCGAAGCATGAGTGTCTGGTCCAGTTGTTGAGTGCGACAGCCTTCACAACGTTGGCCCCGCTGTCTGTCGTCACACACACCTGTTTTTCCTCCTGAAGATTCCACGAGCTGAGGAACTCTTTTAGGCCTTTGGCTATATTTTCCCCGGTATGGTCCTCGGGGAAAAAACTTGTTTCAAGGCACTTGTTCTTTAGCTTCCAGTCTTTGTCCACGTAATGTATTGTGAGGCTCATGTAGGGGTCTGATGTTCGGCTTGACCACATGTCCGTGGTGGACGCAAAAAACTCCACAGACGATAATGCATTTGCCACCTCAGTACGAACCTCTTCATATAAAGCAGGCAAAGCGACTTTAGAGAAGTATTTCTTGGTGGGCAGCTTGTAGCGTGAATCAAATGTTTTAAGCATCTTTGTGAAACCTTTTTCCACACTCTGAACGAGCATCATATCCCTGGCTAAACAATGCGTCACTGCATTAGTTAGTTCTCTCCAGCGTTTTCTACTTTTGTCATACGGGGTGCAGCTATTTATAGCTGTGCCGATTGTTTGTTGAGTCAGCTTCTTTGGTCTTACCACCGCACTTGTTGAAGGTGACGCATCTTCGCGTGCTTTAACAGCTTTGTTGTACTCCAAAAAGTGCTTCTGCTTCAAATGATGAAATAAGTTTGTGGTGTTTCCTCCCTTCGCCACAACAGCCCGCTTGCATGTTCTACAAAAAATTGTGCTTTGTTGGGTATCTGACGGGCGGAAACCGAACCAGTTCCACACCACTGAAGTAGCACCTTTTTTAAAAACAAATTCTGTTTCATTCAACGAGCCGCTTTCGCCCTTCTCCTCCGTCGTCGCCATGCTTTTTCCGCCATGTGCGTATGAGCGTATGAAAACAAAGGCACTGCGCAAGCGCGTTTTACCCATTCTATCCTATCGCGATATTTCATTTTCTTATCATTGCCCAGCATTGTACCGGTATTACCGTGAAAGGTATGATATGGCTCAGCCCTACAGAGGTCAGTACAAAACCCACTGTTCAGTAGATACAAATCAGTCCTCAGAAGTCGTTTTCAAAAGCAACTTAAAACCTGTCTTTATTTTTAAAGGTTTTCAAATGATTCATTGTGTTTTATGTTTTGCTTTTACCGGTTTTAAGCTGTTTTTATTTGCTTGTTGTCAAGTGCAGCACTTTGTGACTATTCCCTTGAAATGAGCTGCATAAATAAAGTCTTACTTACCTATTTGCTACTATGTTTGAAACTGTACAGTAACATGTATATCTGTATCTGTCTAGATGCACCCTAACAGCTGCTGTTCTTCTGATGAAACATCCTCACCAACACCACCCTGAAGCAGGTAATTTTAGCCAGATGTCTGTAGTCTCTGACAGACTGATGTGTTAATGTAGTTTAGGGCTACAACAAACGATTATTTTCATAATCGATTAATCTGTCGATTATTTTTTCGATTAATCGGTTTGTTATTGTTTAGCTATTTAACCTATACAAGTGATGAATGCATTTCAGTTAAGAAAAAAAACATAAGAGAATTGTGCAGTTGACTGCAATCGATTTTATTGCACATGAACACAGTCAGCAGTGTAAAATGAGCTAAACAGTGCAAAATATCAGTCCAGAATAATTTTTTAGCATTAGCTGGAAGCCTGCTCCTTCCACCATGGATAGTGGCCTCATGTCTTTTACCAGCATGTTTAGAATAGAGTTAAGTGGTATGCATTGCTGGGGGGTGAGTGTCTTGTTCCCCATGTAGTTGTCCATCGTTGCTTGTTTTTTTCTGCATAAGAAACACAAATTGACTGAAATAAGTACACATATAAAATAAAGCAGCACACACACTACAACACTAAATCAACATTATATTATTTGAATTAATTAACAATAGACAGTGATAATTTATTTTGAGGGTTACGTTCTACAAAATAGCCCGCAACAGGAGATATTCAGAAAAAAAGACAATTTTTTTTACTATTAAAAAGCTCTAAGTAAGAAGCTCATGAGGTTTTTACTTTGAGTCGGGAGTGTTTAAATTAGCTAGAGAAATGTGAAAAATGATTATTTTGTGTAATACTGTTTAAGAAACATGATAAAAATGCATTGTGAGGCATTTTACAGTGTTAAACACAGTGTAAAACAGCCTTTTAATAGTAAAAAAATGACTTTTTCTGAATTTCTCCTGTATTTAAAAATTGAAAGCGTACAACTATGCCGCATTATATTCACCTGGACACAGCTCGTCTGTATATTTTTCTCTGCGTAATTGTCCTTTTTTGAATGAGGAACATAGTTATGGGTTTGTGCCGTTTTTCCCTTAACGAGAACATTCTTATAAACAGACTTGCTAAATTTGGCAAGCGCATGATTCACAACACGGAGATTCACGATTGCATTTAGTCAATCAGAAGTAGAACACCGTAGACTGACGCGGCAAAAAAAAAAAACATGTTTAACATCCACTATAACGAACTCAGCTAACACTAAGTCCAAAATTTGATCTGCGTGTAGTATATTTAAATTGTTTATTTTCTGTTACTTACCAGGCTGGCATTTCCTCTGCTGCATCAGCCCCCACATGTTTTCGTCTCAAATGTTCACTTAGGGACGTCGTGTTTCCGTGCCATGCTAGATGGTTTTTGCATATTTTGCAGGTCACCCGTCTTTTCCTGGCATCTAGAGTGACGTTCTCCCATAGTCGTGAGGTTTTTGTCCGGGGTTTCTCTTCAGTTTTGTCGCTTCTATTTTTCTTCCGTATTTCTTCTTGTTCCGCCATCTCTCAAAGCAAGATGCGCGTCAGTAACGTGTTACGTCACGAAAACCGAGGGCACTTATTGGCTCGTTTCTTCTTCTACGGCTCCACTGGTAGATCAGTGGCTCATTACTGCCACACACTGGCGGCAAATTTAACAGATTGTAACCGATGTCAGATTTTGGTAAAAATAGACTTTTTGCGGTAAAATTAAACAACTAATCGATGACTAAAAAAGTTGTTAACTACTTTAATAATTGATTATAATCGATTAGTTGTTTCAGCTCTAATGTAGTTATTATTATTGCTGTTAGTCAATGTCACAAACCTTGTTAGTAATTACAGTAAATGTAGGAATCATTAATCAAATAAAATAATGTTTATGTAGCGTGAGGAAATATGTTTTTTTCTGTGCCAAAGGTTGTATTTGCCCGGCTGGGTCGAAGCTGGGTCACCAGCAACTTTCACCCACAGATAAAGACCTGAGCCGCCAGCAAGTCTGACGAATTTCACAACATCCAACACCTGCATCTCCGGAATCTAGTCATAATAAAGAGTCTTACGCTTCCTTTGTTTATTAATGCTAAATAATAATTTTATCACTTTACTCATTATAAATGTGTTTTAATCAAATGAATTATTATTATGCTTTGGGTAATCATAATAATTATAATGAATCAGTATACTTAATTAATAATGTTTGAAGATGTCTAGTGATGACCTTCACACTCGCTCACACAGGTCTGCTTCCACAGTAACTCCAAAACACATTTGCTCTGACGCACAAGTTTGCTTTGGGAAGAGAAGTGGTTTTTGGTAAGTTAGGCAGAACGAGTTTGACAACGAGAGAGAGCGGACGTGCTGAACAAACGCCAACGGGGAACGGAGCCCCGCCGGCTCTTTTCTCCCCCCCACGCTATTCCTGTCAAGCCAGATAGGATAGCTGAAATGCAACCAGCTAGCGCAGACTCGTCCAGAGTCTTTGATTTCTGAGTTAATTTAAACTTGAGAAAGCGCATCTGCCAAACGCTTCATCAACGTGTACCGAGGTCAACTCTGGACTGGACTGTCAGCGCACCTTCGTCTTCTCTGTCAGCCAGGGTGGCTCCTGGAGAAACATCCTCCTTCGGTCCGGATCTAAAGAGGGTCCTAGGTCGGTGAGACAGAACACGATAGATAGCCATTCGTGTCAGCGGACACGGTAGGGTTGGGGAGGGGGGCGGGGCATGATGCTTGGCCTGACGGGTGACCAAGCAAAGCCTGGCGGGCCGCCAGGCTTATAAAGCGCTGGGGGAAACCCTGGTTCATTAAACCTGGAAATTTAAGGGGTTAATCTCCATCCAAACAAAAATGGTAATAAAAGAATAAAACATTGCCTCTCGTTTGATAGAAGACCACATTGATATAGGGATGCACCGATGGATCGGCATTTGATCGTAATCGGCCGATAGCGCCCCTATCGGTTTTGATCGGAATTTTCAAAATAGATCAAAGCAAACCGATCAGATAGGGTTGTCACGGTAACCAGTGTAGCGCTAAACCCCGGTAAAAAAAAAAAAAAGTTGACAATAATAACCGTCTTGTTTTTAAAAAACTATATTATCTTGGTGGGTTTACCGTGGCTGCGGTGTAGGCGCGGTGACCCTTACCAGCCACCGTATCATCTGCAGAAGTTGCCGGCGGCACATACACGCTTTGTTTACAACAAAACTTTCTTGAAGCTAAAGCTGAAATAATGGTCAAAGGAGGAGACGGCAGCGCTCAGGAGGACATTTATTATCCCTCAAAGAAGACAAAGTCGGAAGTACGGGCATATTTTAGATATTTGAAGAATGCCGAGGGAGTTTATAGAAGACGGGCGGCTATCCTGTTTGCAGCACGTGCAGAAAAAGTGTCTGTGAAAGGCAGCAACGCTTCAAATCTCATGACACATCTGCGTGACCATCACCCACAACTCTACAGTCAACGCAAGGCAAGTTAACGTTAGCGTTTTAGCTAAAATGCGTGATCCGAGGATTTGGGTTGAGGGAGAATGCAATGAGTCGCTATATAAAGCAGCCGCAGCGCCGCTACCTGCATATAAACCGTGTCGCGGACACCCCCATGTTGAAATGACGCTATGCATTACGGGGCTCCCAGGGGCAGATAAGAGTTGGTCTCTCTCCGAGAATAATTATGAATTTAACAATGATTACTGCCTGATGACATTTTCCCAAATCTGCAAATCTCACTGGTAAGGACACAAACCGAGGACAATATTTTCCTGATATACGGATTGCTCAAGTAAGGGTAAAAAAAAAAGTATCTGATTAGAAGGCTACTTGAGTACTGAGTATCATCTGATCTAATATTTTTAAATGATGACATCAAACAGACATAAAATATGAAGTTATGGGCAAATATTGGTATTTTAAAGACTAAAGGGGAAAAATGTAAACAAATAAACAACATAATTACAAAATAACACATTTTAGGCAAAATTTAGACACAAACTGAGGACAATATTTCCTGACATACAGGGTTTATTTAATCGTGTGAAAATGTAGCACGTTTAAAAAAAATACCGCGATAATACCGAAAACCGTGGTAATTTTGGTCACAATAACCGTGAGGTTAAATTTTCAAACCGTGACAACCCTAATACAGACCATTTTAGATTAGGTTACATTTCCTTTATTCCCAGATTATGTAGTTTGTAGCATTCATTATAATGTTGTAGAAAATTTCTGGCCAATCCACGTGATCGGTATCGGTGATCGGTATCGGTGATCAGCATTCTTTGATATCGGTATCGGTGATCGGCAGCAAAAAACCTGATCGGTGCATCCCTACATTGATATGCTCTCCTGCATTCTGTTCTGACACCAATCGATCAGCGTCTTCCTCTACATTTTACCTGCTTCTGTCATGTATGTCTGCTCCTCAGCTGGCATCCTGTTTAGCCAGCTAGTGCTTTGCCTCCCTATCATCTGTCATATATGGGAATTACCATATTTGGCAACTCCTGGTGTATTTGGCTCTGGCTACACATGGTTTATAACCATTGTCTGACTTTCATTGGTTACATATTATAGAATTTTTATTTATTATTACTT